CCCCCCACCCACACGCCCCCCCCCCCCCCCCCCCCCCCCCCCCCCCCGCCCCCACACCCACAAGCACCAACTTGTTCGGAGCTATCTAGCACAGTTCCTGACATTTTCCCCCAGATGTGACAGACAGGAGAGAATTGGCGACCATCTGTCTGGGCAGAGAGCTGGAACTCTGGCTGGATAGGGTGGAACACAGAAGGTGCTCTTCATCCAGGACCAGCTGTGAAGGCCAACCTGGTCCCAGGTTACCACCCACTTAAAACAGTCTTAGCTGTTTTGGAGGAATGCCCAGCAGTGTAGGGAAACGTTCCGCAACCTTCTCTGCTCCACCAGCATCGAATTCAAGATGGCGGCAGAGTAGCAGGGCTGAGCTCGGGGCTCGTCCACTCCCATCTGCTCTCATTCTTTTGCTTCTTTTCTTTTTGTTCTTTTCCTCTTTTTACTTTTGCTCTTTCTTTTTTCTTTTCTCTTCATTTTCTTTTCTTTAAAGCCTGGAGAGTGGTGGATGAAGGAAGAGGTCTCCGATGACAGTGGCAGCAGTCAACCGAGCTGTTAACAAGAGCGATTACCTTCATTGGCAACTTTCCATTGCCTAGCAAGAAACTCACTATGCCGTTTGTGAAGAGGATAAAACTTGGTGTATTGTTCTCCTGATGTTGAGACCTGCCTTGCCCAACTTCTCGTCCGATTCTCCCTCAAATCTCGCCATAGCCCATGTTGCTCAGACCCTTACAAGATTCCAACCCCCATCTTCCTTCTGATCTGGTACAACTTGGAGCTTTTTGATTGTGTCTGTTTCATCCTGCTTTCTCTTTACTGCAGTGAAAATTGCGTCAGTCAATGAGATAGAAGCAGGATGAAAGTAAAACTCCATTAAGTCTCCTGCTTAAACATTGTAAGTCCTGCTTAACATGCTGTGTAGTCTATTTATTTATTTGAAGTGAATATTAAATTCATTATGACTGTCAAAGAGTTGGTTGAGGGACAGTATCTGTTTTAATTTACAAGACTCTACAACCTTATGACTGACGCGTACAGCGAACAGACATTGGGTTATAAGAAGATTATTTCTCCAGCAAAATGCAGCGTGGCAGCTAGTTGCATGTTCCAAGTGATTTTGGGACTGGATTTGGGATTAGCATCTTGATGTTAGGATGAAATGCAATTCCCAATTCTTGACCTTTTTGGGAATAGTCACTTGCCAGTGATTTATGTTAGATTGGCCAGAAAGCAAGCTCACTGTTCAGTTAAGGGCTTCAGACAGACTGTCAAGTTTGGCGGTCAGTAGGAAGGCCTGTAGCAATGACACATCAGCAGCTCCATTGGCCAAAGTGGCAACAACTATCGCTGTCTGCAATAGAAAAGGGATCAGGTTAAAAAAAAGGCTTTTCTTTTAAGAAGCTACAACTACTTGGCATTAATATGGAGGGATGGTCTTTAAATTGGTAGAATTGAAAGATTAGCTTTGTGAGATTTAGCAGGCTCATTTATCACACTCTGCTGACGGGAAACCTCAGCTTCGATCTGTATAATTTGACAGGAGCTCCTGCTTGCAGAGAAGTGGGCAAGAATGAACAAGCTGCCATTTCCTAAGATTGACACCAAGGTTTTTGACCGAGAAGGATTAAAAGAGTGTTACATCTTCAAGCCTAAAAACCCAATGACAGAGAAAGACTGTCCGACCATCATCCACTTTGTACTGGCAAACATCAATTTTAGGCATTATAAGGCACCAGGTAAGAAACTTCATCAAAGCTTGACAGAGAATTACTTTCCTGAACTGTCTGCATCCAAGTCTATACTGAAATCAATTATTTCCTTCAATTTTCTGATCTCTTGCCCATCGGTCCTCTGTTTGAAGTCCATATTTTTATTATACCATAGAGGATAAACTTGCAAAGCCTTAGCTCTCTCTTACTCAACAGCCATGTGCATACTTACTAAAACGAGGCATAATGGAGGAAATCCCCATCCCACCATCGTACCTTCTCTAAATCCACTCTGCCTCTGACTCACTACAAGGACTGAATGATGGGTTTTCTACTCTGTATGATTACTCTTGTCTTTAGGCACTTACAAATGAAGCTGGAAAAGGGAGTTTATCACACTTGTAATGGTGAGCACTGAGCATGATACTTGTGGTCCTTTTGCTTTTGTCATGACCTTCAGTTTTACTAAAAACAGAAAATGTACAGATACTGATTGAGATGTAAAATAAAAGGTCATTACCATTCCTTACACTAAGGTCTAAATTCTCTCAGTGTGACCATTTCCACTGTATCACCTAACTTAAAGCTTAGTTCAATAGTTTCATGATGTCAGTAATATACATTAGAATTTAATTATGAATAAGTTGGTCAGGCTACCCACATCTGACTTCTTTACCAGGCTGGTTGATTTGGGAGTACAGATTGGAGCATTACACCAACTTTATTTAGCCCTGTGCACATTTGCTGTAAAGTTTCATTTGTTTATTTGATTCCTGTCAAGGACCTTCCCCTGCATCAGGCATGGGTCTATTAATGCCAGCAATGTGGTAATTATACAATTAGCCAGAGCAGGCAGATGGACATAATAACCTGTCCAAGCTGAGAATCAAATTTCCCACTAAAACAAGTCATTGTAGTCTAAATGTTATTAATTGGTAAAAGACTTTGAAATTTTGATTTGTGATATAGAAATATATACATTTCAGTCTTGTTGTTATTATGTGGCCCTAGCTATTCATTCAGGCCTATTGCCTGTGGCCATTTGCTTCTACCTAGCAGTATATCTTCGTACAAAGACTGTTTCATAAAGTGATGTTCTCTGTCTCCAGGAGCATGTATACTGTCTGATTTAAAACACAGCACTGTCTCCAAAACCCAGACTGTATAGCTGAGGTCGAATGCTGAGTTCAATGCAGTGTAAGCAAATGTGAATACTTTTACAAGTATCAACACAGTCATTGCACAGTTGATGTTATGTGTAATGATAATGCTCCTCATCACTTGATTATTCCAATGAGAAAACAAAGAAGAGTTGAATCTAGCAAGACCCTCAGAAACTCAATGTCTTATTGAAGCATGAACACTATTAATGAAAGTAAGAATTTCAAGATTGGAAAAGGTGACTGTTGTGAATAAAGCAACTTTCTCAGTTTGCTTACTGATATTGAACACAATAAATCTGTCATCTTGCAGATGGTTAAGAAATAATACACTGTCACTTAGAAATGAAAATTTTAATTTCTGTTTACTTGAATCCTAGCTCTAACCTTTAACAAATTTAAAGGCTAGAAATTGCTGTCATTGTGGCATAAGCAAAAAAATTGACTATTTCTAAAGTTTGTGCATTGGCTCAGCCTTGAAGATTCTGAAGAAAGAAGAGAGCCTCCACTCAGCTTAACTCGATGATTTCTCCCTCTATCTAAAAGCAGACAAGCTGAGGTTTGCTGGTTTGATCACCCATTAACAGTACTAGTCAAGAAATTTGAAAAATATTAAAGACATGCAGGAACCAAAGTTTAATCTGTTCAGAGTGAAATATTAAGAAGCTTAGTCAATGAACAACTCTGTGTGATCCTGAGATCAGGAAAACCACAGGTTCAGTCTCCAGTCCTGTCAAAAGAGCAGATATCAATTAGGGCAGCAATAGCTGTAAGTGCCCTGTATTGGCCTTTGTTGGGTTACAACTCCCAACAAATATGCAGAATACCTTTAAGGGACATTCTCATGATATCATCATTATATTATGGCATGTGACCAAATAGTACAAAGCACTCAGTCTCCATCTTACTGAGCTCTGTTCTCTTGAAGCATGACACACTGAGTGGTGCATGCTACAGCACATTAGAATTACTTGAGCTTGAGCCCAGATACACAAGTGCCTGTGATTGTCATAAATGTTCATAGATACTAGGAGCTGTAATAAATCTTGTTGCACTTTCAGGATTACATGATCCATGCCTTATCCTTACATTACAAGAACTAACCTATATATCACAGTGTGGCAATGGCAAATCATCAGTACATCAACTATCACCTCACTTCAGCCCAAGCATTCTAGGATTAGGGAAATGTCAGCTCTTGTTCCAACTATACATCACTGCCCTGTTACCTTCCTCTGGAAGGTGCTTGAGTGGGGACATCAGGTGAGTATGATATTCCCAATTACTGGAAAGTGTAGAGGCAAGGACATAGGATAGGCCATTTAAAATTACAATGAGGAGAAATTTCTTCATCTGGAGAGTGGTGAGGCCAAAACATTGAACGTTTCTGAGAAGAAGTTTGCCGTAGTTCTCAGGGCTAAAGAGATTAAAGGGTTTGGGGAGAAAGTAGAAAAAGGGTACTTGGTTGGAGATTAACCATAATCTTTTTGAATGGCAGAGCAGCCTTGAAGGGCTGAATGGCCTACTCCTGCTTCTATATTCTATGTTTCAGCGAGTGGATGGTTTCCATTGGCAAATATTGTGAGGTCATTCACTGCTTATTCATACACCAAAGAACGGTTGAAATATAAACAGAAAATATTGTAAATACTCAGCAGGTCAGGCAGTATGAGTAGAGAGAGAAACAGAGATGGTGTTTAAAGTCAGCGACCCTTCATCAGAATGTTTGACTATTTGGGCAGAGATTAGATGAAAATAGCACCAGGTGATCTCACCCTGGCATGAATTAATGCCTTAGAAAAAGAGGATCGATGAAAATAGATCATGGAAAGTAAAGTGCTAAAACTGACTTTTGTGCTGAAACACATGTTCTCTTTGCCAAAGGTGTTAAACGAGAGAGTGAGAAAGAAATGGAGAATGTGGACTTTGACATCTTTGATGATGCTGATTCCCCATATTCTACTTTCAACTTCCAGTATTCCAATAAGGCATTTACACTGCTTCATGACTTAATGGAGTTCAACACACTTAATAATATTGAGGTATGTTTGAAACCACATATTTGACCAAAGGAATGGCAAAATTAAATTTTGCATAGGACTTCTTTGTTGTAGAGATAAATAATTTGTGTGCATTAAGCTCTGAAGCCCTGTTTCACATAAAGCATTGTAAAAACACAGGATATTTCATAATAGATGACAAAGATGTCCAGGATTCTTCAAAACCATTTCTGTTAATCTCAATATATTTTACGCTCTTATTACCAATGTAGGAATTACATTAAATACAGAGGAAACCAACGTGAGGAATGCCAGATATCAGGACTTGAAATTTATAAAAAAGATCCGAAAGGAGACCGTGTACTAATTTGAAGGAAGATTATTAAAGCAGAAATACAAATGGGTTCAAGAAATAATGAGGTGTAATTCTGAAGAGAGAAATGATGAGATAGAAGCAGAGGATGAATCAGAAATGATCTGTCACACTTTACCTTCGTAGCCTTTTCCTGACCCACAGATGTTTTTATGTTGGACTGATAAATTATTCATTGGTGTTGAAAGAACATGTGACATCGAATATTGATAAACCAGGTAGCAATGAAATTGAGAAACAAACTTCAGAGCCACCTATGGGTCAGAGGATATATCTGCATACCTAAGTAGAATGGGATATATTGAAACAGCATTTAGTGGCGCAGAAGGCAAGTTCAAAAATCATGACAACACAAAATAAGGTTTTGTGAATAGGAATTGTTTAAATTTTTAATACAGACCAATATTGGGCCCTGGAAAAAAAAGGCATAAAGATAGAATTGTCAGGCTATCAGTTCTTCTACTTCCCAACTTCCACCTGCCTAATCTTAAAAGGTGTTCTGAGCCACCATTCTGGTGCAAAGAGTGCTAATGGAAATATTCAGTGTGTGTGTGTTCACAGTGCAGGAGATAGGACACCACAGTTAAACCTGGCCACTCTGATCCATTTGCACAAGTGCAGATGCACCTGCAGCGCAGTCACAGGAAAAGACATTGAAACAGTAAGAGTGTGCCAAAAGGCATTTTGGATTCAAAACTGTGTCATGCTTTCTGTAAGGAGATGAATACATGGTCAAGTGTACCTTGTTTTTTATGCTGAAATCCAGTGGGACTGTATTTCGGATGCCTGCATGTTTAATGCTTAGCGAAAGCCTTTATTATTAATAAATAGCCACACAGCTGTTACAAAACAATCTTTCTCATCTCGGAACTTATCTGAATGAGCAGATTTCCTGTTGACTGGTTCCCTATAACTGTGAAAGGTATTCACTTAATTTTACTACAAACCTATGATTAGGTGACTCATTTGATAAACATGTTTTGCCTCTGAATAAGAGTTTATTGCTACACTCCAGTTTTACACATAAGTGCACATTGCTTTATCAAGTGGTAGTATTGGCCATAAATGCAGCCTTAATTATCATACTCAACATCAGAATTCTTGAGTCTGCAATTAAGACTGTTGTAAAGCAATATTCATGTCTGGCCACAACACTTTCCCCTCACAACAGGCATGTCCACTTTAATGATCAAGTGAAAACTGACTCCTTAATTAGATCTGTTTCATTTCAATATCCAATCAATTACATCCTGTTGCCAAATGTTTAACAGTCTGAAGTATTTATCTCCTTTTCTGAACAGTTGATTAAAGATGCCATCATCGAGAGCATTAAGTACCGACGACAGAACCCATCCCGCTGCTCTGTATCCCTCAGTGACGTGGAATACAGAAGACTTAAAAAGTCACTTAGTTTTGATGGCCTGCAGTCCAGAAGGAAGCGACATGCTGCTGAGGAACAACATAAACCAATGTAGCAACAACTACCTTCTGCAGCATAACCACAGGAGGAGAATGGCATTTCCAGATACTGGCAATCAAATCTTATCTACCCAAGCTGACAATATTCACTCCTTGGCTTGGACTACACTTTGGATCTTACGTAATATTCTGACTGCAAACAGCATATCCAAATAATAACAAAACAAAAGAGCAGAATCCTACTTAAAAACAACAGTGATGGTAATAACATGATGGACAAGCTGTGAAAGATAGAGTACACAAACTGAAGATTCTATTGTCATGATTAATTCCCACTTCCTTTTCACTTATTTTTTTCTTTGTTTTCCTAGCTATCTATGGAAGGGGTCATACCTTGGCTCTCAACTAATGCTGGTCTGAATTGATAAAAGTGGACTAAGCAGAACATGGTGACAATGATATTGCTGGTTCCTTCTCTTCCCATCCACTTTGTACCTTAAGCTCCAACAATTACATGCCTGAGATCAGGAAGTCAGAAATAGTTACAATAGTTACAAATTAAATCTTGTCATATGCTGCACATTGCTGAGGGATTGAATTTAATGTTTAACTTTCAAAACATGTTTCTTTTTGGGATCTGTAACTCAAAAGTCTGAGTGATAATAGTCCTTTTGCATTCTGATTTTACTTAAAAACAGTAGTGTCATCAACAAGTCCTGTACAACCTCAGTTATCACACCTGATCTTTTACACCTTAAGGACAGAGTTACTATTTGCAAACACGAGACTTGCTGGTTATACACTGAGAATGTCTCATTAGCATTTCTTCATTCAGATCTTTCACTAATAAATCTGGTTCATGGATAAATGGATTCTGACATTACTAAGACAGATACCCAAACCAGTTTCTGATCCCTACTATGTGTTAAATTGGCTGGCCTCAGGTGGAGTAGTATTGAAACACTCAAATTGAATTCTGTGTTCCCTGACACCAATTAAAAGAGATGATGGTTCCCTATGTCACATCTGGACCAGGTTTACTGGAAGTATCCAGCATGCTCCATTTTCACTTCTTTTCCACAATACCAGTAAATGTGTTGGTTTGGTTCCAACATTCCACTTCACATTGATTGCATGAAGTCAGCTGAATGCTACCCTGCCCCAACAAAGCACCATAAGTTAGCTTTGCTTTTGTATTATATGTATCATTTCTTGATTACCCAAAGTAAAATTTGTAACCAAATTCTTCAGAAAATTGTATTTATGGCTGAGATTTTGAAAAACGGCCAAACATACAACATCCTGATCAGTTGAAATTATCGTCAATGTGGATCTCTTTATTTCTACAATTTTCCTCTCCTGAGTCTTCTACTATCAGTCCCTTCAGACTGAGCTGTGCATTTTTACTTTTTCAGTGCTCAGGAAACATGGGAATCGATGGAATTTGGGAAGGCATCAGTGGTTTCCTTCCTGCCACAATGGGAAACAATCTGTTTTGGCCAGATATTCCACCTAGTGGCACTCAGCAAGAACAAGGGGAAAACTGACTGTAGCCAAGCAAGAGAGATGTATTCATGGGGTTTGAGGTATAACCACCAGAATCATCATAATCATCAGCTTCCTTACCAAAACGTCCTGCTGCATAATTTGTTGGTAACCCTTGCATAAATGACTCTTAGGGTAAAACTATAATCTATTGTCACATTTATTGCTGAAATTCCAATAAAACAGGGTTTTGAGAGCCAGTTTCTACTTTATAGCCATTGGAGACAACAGCATTCTCAGTTTATAAATCATTTTAAATGACGTGACTTTTGTTAATGTGCATTCGGAGGATTAAAGGTCCAATTGCCTTTCTCTTTCTCATCTGGTGCACTTGCCCAAAGGCCACATCGCTGAACTATTTTCAGGTTTGTGCCACAGTTAAATTTATAAGTGGGCTGTGGCTGCCGAATGGGTAGTCCCTGTATTTACCAGTTTGGTGTGGCAGGGAATTAGTTTGCAATGATCTGGCCCATATGTGAGGTGTGCTTGTAAAGAACTCAGAGCTGGGGATGGAAACAGTGTCAGAGCTGGTCAGCAACTCTATCTGATTCAACAAAAATCTTTTTAAAGCAATGACTTAACTTTTCCAAGCAGGCAACCAACACAGAAATATTTCATTTTATTTCACATATTTCTCCAACAAAATCGTAATTGAACTCCTCCAACTACCATAGGGTCTGATCTGAATATTTCAAACAGTTCCTGTTTTGGGTAAGAGTTCCTGCTCCTTTAGAAGTCTGATTTCTAAAAACGGTCCAAAGTTTTCCTACCCCCAGTATGATATAGGGAGAGACTAGTGATACAGACAGACATATGGCAGGTGAAATTTAACAAAAGGAATATGGACTGATATGTTTTAGTAGAACAGGTAATGAGAGGCACTATCAAGTAAATGTGGTGTGATTCTAAAGGGTTGTGGGAAAAGAGAGACTTTGGGAATTTTGCATAAAAATCTTTGAAGGTAGGAAGACAAATTCCAAAATGATAAATGGGATCCTTAGCTTTATTAATCAAAAGCAAGGCGATTACACTTAAACTCTAAATAACACCGATTAGACCTTGGCTGGGTGTGCCGTATTCAACTCTGGGCCTGCAAGAAAGCCCTAAGGAGACTTCTTTCAATTATATGGAGAAACTGGGTTGCCTTCCTTAGAGCAAACATCATTAAGAGAAATTAAATCAGAGAAAGCTGGAAACACTTAGCAGCTCAGGCAGGATCTGTGGAGAGAAACAGAGTTAACATTTCAGGTCAATTAATTTTTTATCAAAACTGGGATACAGTTCTGATGAAAAGCCATGACCTGAAATGTGTCTCTGCACAAGAGCTGCCTGACTTGCTGTGTGCTTTTGGCATCCTCAGTTTTTATTTTAGACTATCAGAATCTGCAGTTATTTTGCTTTCAGATTAAAAAAAATTGATAAAGTTCTTCAATATCACGAAGGACCTTATTAGACAATTATTTATATTGAGTTTCACTCACTTGTAGCACAATAATACTGACAGCCTCTGAAATGCCAATGAAGGTTTATCAACTGCTCCCAGTCCTTTGTCTCTCCTACATCAGATGCCTCTGTTGTTGCAAATGCAGGAAAGGTATTTCTTTCACTTGCATTGATTACAATATATGCTGTCAGTCTCTGAGAGAATTCAGGCACTTTGTAATGGGTGAGAGTGCAACACGGTATATCTTCACTTGACTTAATTCCACCAAGATGTCAGTGTAGGGGATGGGAATTGTAGCCACTTCTTAGTTCTTCAATAGCTGATTGGTACTCTGCTGGTGGATTGAATGTATGCCCTGCAGATATGCTACATTTCATCCAAACTACCCAAACCCCTTAACGATGGCTGCTTACCGGGAAGGATCATTGCTCCATAAACATGCATTCTATTATTTCCCGGGTTAGCTTAGGAGGTTGAGAATCTTCCATAAAGTAAGGTTATCTTCTATAGAATTAATGTTAAATGTTAAAACTTTTTTGAGTTTCAATTATGGAACAGTTGCAGAGACTAGATGATATGCTACTTTGAAGAGGTGATTGCAGAAGTTTAAATACATTTAATTTCCACTATATTCTTCAGTGTTGATTGCGTATGGCACATTATGATTGGAGCACGCAAGACCAGAACACACTCACTCTAACACAGACCTTTTGAAAGGATGATAAATAAATCATCCTGTATTTATATAACAGTTATGATTTTTATGTTTTATTTCTTAATTGAATGTTGATTCTGTTTTGATTAATAATAAAACTGAAATGATCAGATCCAATGTGATAAATAATCAGGGCAAAATTGTACCTAAAGATCAATACTCTTCTAACTAGCTGAAAACTCTAACTCATGGGTAAAAACATATTTGAAGACCAATGCCCAGTATTCTGTACAATAAAACGATGCTTTGAGTGTTACATGTGAAAGGTAAAGGCAATACCTAACCACTGCTGAGTTTGATCTACAAACCAGAACAACCCAATATATAATCCCCAATCTGTGCTGATTTGATTAAGTTTGACTATTGCAGTGGTAGGCTGGGCAGCCTCAAGTGATCTTCATTTCCCTTGGTTGGGAAAGGGAGTTTTGTTTCGTGTTCCTGAGTGTATCCAGCAAATCCTGCTGGAAAATGCATGCAAATGTGAATGTTAGTTCTAATACTTTCTGCAGTTTGATAGTTTGCCACCTTTCACTACCAAGGCTGATGATGAAAAACTGGATGAGATGCCATGAGGGCAGCAAACAACCATCAATTCATCCAGCATCAATCAACACCTTTAAAAGAAGTGGACCTTTTAAAGAAGTGGGGAGAGGGAAAAACAGAAAAAGAATCGTATAAATGTTTATGGTATATATTTCTAAACCTATTTAATTTAATCTCATAAATAGATTCTAAAAATATTTGAGAATTCCAAACATATTGATAAACATAGCTGGAATATTATTTTAGTCATATGGTATGTTAGGTTTTAACAAGTTAGGTGAATAAATATGTGTCATATTGTAATTGCTATGTACGTAAAGAATAAATGGTGTTGCTATGGGAAATTCTTTATATTTAACAATTTTTAAAAACATTCCTATGTGGTTATTTAAATAAATGATTAAATAAATGCATGTGCTTGCTTTGATTTATATTTTTAGAAGTGTTCTGTCATAATTTCATATGGTAACATGACGGCTTGCATATTTAAACAGGTAATTATTCACTTATTGAAACATTATCTTTGCTGATATGTACCCATTTTTGTAACTCACTCAGCCTCCACCCTTTCCTTGAGCTTTGATTAGCCTGCAATTAAACATGATCTATCTATCCCTGGTTTGCCAATGTTATTATGACCACTGTACGTCTGAACTTAACTCTCTTGCTCCTTCTCAGTTCCAGATGTACTATCTTCTTCCAGCTTCCCCTTCGCTGTCAATTGAAATTGAAGAGTCATCTCACTGTCTTCTACATTCTCATTCTTCATAGAATCCAGAATTACTGCATAGAAGTCTCTTGGCTTTTCCCCCCTAATCTTGCTCAGATATTGCTCACCAGATGCTTATTCAACATCCATCTGAAAGCTATAATTGGATCTGCTTCCACAAGTCACTCAGCACTGCGTATCTACAAGGATAGCAGTAGACTCAATGACAGGTTGAAAAGTCAGTGCAACCTTACCTTGGCAGTTTCTGGGAGCCCCTACTGGATTTTATGTCCATCAAAAACTTGTTGGGACACCCGTCCCTTTAAAGGATAAGATCCTGCCTTCAAGAACTGCCAGCAAATCAGATAGTCAGGAGCACCAGCCTCAAAATAAGTGTATTGGAGTCAAGGTTTCAGGCTAGTGAGGCAGGTCCCAGAGAGGAATGTACTGGCAGTTGGTGAGGACAGAGACAGTTCTGTCATGTGGCTGACTATTGCTGTGCTTCACAGGATACCTGATTAAGAAGATCCCAAACCAGACTGCAGGATAGTCACCAGAGTTCACGTGCAATGTCCCCACATGCCAAAAAGCCCACTCATCACTGGTAAAATGCCAGAAGCAGCAGAAGTAACTTTTAATTATCCATCACCTTCTCCTCCATTGGCAAAATGTCATGGCAGCTGGAAGGTGGTGGATAGTCCACAGTGCCACCCTCCATATTTTCATGTGTACCAAACAGCACAAGCAGTAAGTTATGCACAGGGCCGAAGGATTCCACTACTAATGATCAGATCTAAGTTATGCAGTCCTGCCACATTCAGTCATGAATGATAGTGGACAATTAAATAGCTCACTGTAGGAGGAGAAAGCTCCACAAATATTCCCATCCTCATTGATGAGGAGCCCTGTACCTCATTGCAAAGGATAAGGTAGAATTTGCGATCAACTTCAGACAGAAGTACTAAGTTGATGATTAATTTTTGTCTCCTCTGGAGGACACCAACATTAGAGATGCCGATCTAAAGCCAATTTGATTCAGTCCACATGATATCAAGAAATGGTTGGAGATTACAATATAGGCCCCTGATAATATTTCAGCAACAGTACTGAAGTCTTGTGCTCCAGAAATTGCTGAGCATCTAGCTAACCTGTTCCAGTACAGCTTCAACACTGGCAACTAGGCAATGTGAGGTAATTGCCCAGGTATGTCCTACGAGTGAAGAAAGAAAATGAGGTTAACCAATACGTTAATAGAGATGTACTAGCAAGGATTTAAGGGGATATTTTAAAATACATAAATAAATATTTCAAAGAGAAAGAAAAATTCCAAGGGGAAGACCCACCATTCATGCATAACTAAAAAAAGTTAGTTAACATCAAACTTAAAGAAAATCATATGATTATGCAAAGATGGGTATTAGGTCACAAGTTTAGGCAGAATATTTAAAAAAAGGAAAGAATCACTAAAGTATGAGTAAGGAGGGAGAAATTAGAGAATGAGAAAACGGTCCTAGGTTTATAAAAAATGAATATTGAGGGTTTCTATAAATATTTTTAAAAGAAGAAGAATTAGAAGAGTTAACAAAGTAAGTGTTGGACCTATAGAAAGTGAGTTTGGAGAACCAGCAATGCTAAATTGAACAGCTATTTTGTAAATTGGAAAATGCAAGGGTAAAAGGAACTTAATAACATTACAGTCACCAAGAAACTGGTACAAAACAAAGGCTGACAAGTCCCTGGGTCTGACCAGTGGGATAATTGATGATTTGATTTTAATTTTCCAAAACTCCCTAGATTCAGGGAAAGTTCCATTTGTTTGGAAAATAGTGAATGTAATGCATTATTCAAAAACAGTGACAGAAAGCAAGAAATTGTAGGTCAGTTGAGAAATTGTCAAATTTGGCAGCAAGTATAAAAATGAAACACATTATCTAAATAATGTGAGGCTGGAAAGTTTGAAGATCTGAGTATCCCCAGCATGAATCGCAAAATGTTAGAATGCAGGTCCAGCATGTAATTAGGAAGGATAATAAAAGATAATTGTTGATTGGAATTGTGAATTGGAATTCTGTGTAAACAAGAGTCGGGAGGTTATGCTTCATTTATACGTGCTTCAGTATGATCACATTTGGAGTACTGTCAATGGTATTGCTCTTATTTAAGGAATAATGTAAATACTTTGGAAGCAGTTCAGAGAAGTCTAACCAGACTAATACCTGGGATGGGCAGGTTGTTTTGTGAGGAAAGCTTGTACTTGCTGGAGTTGCAAAGAGCAAGAGACAACTTGAGTGAAACATATAAGATCTTAAGGAGTCTTGACAGGGTGAAAATCGAAAGAATATTTCCTCTTGTGAGAGAACCTGGAACTTGGGGGTGGGGTCACTGTTTAAAAATAAGATGTTCCCCATTTATGACTGAGATAAAAGGAATCTTTTTTCTCAGAGAGTCATGAGTCTTTGGAACTGAAAAGGCAGTGGAAACAGAATAGAAATATTCTTAAGGCAGACCTGGATAGATTCGTGGTAAGCAAGAGGTTGAAGGGTTCTACAAAGTAGACAAAAATGTGAAGTAATCAGATCAGCCATGATCTTGTTGAATGCTGGGGCAGGCTTGAAGGGCTGAACAGCCTCTCTGGCTCCTAATTTACATGAATGTATATAACTGCAAACCATAGTATTCAGGTGTACCTTTGGCCAAAACTGTACAGTATGGTGTGGTGAGCTGCATATTTGACTAGAATTGTACACAGCAATGTTGTACAAGGTAAATTAATCTCAACTAGTGCAAAAAGCCTTTGATCAATGATTGAAAATAGTCAAACCCACTCCTGATTGCATCTAGAGACACTAAACAGAAAAATAAGAGGGCAGGAATAAGGACAATGCTGATCAAACTGCAATTCTAAACAGCCTCGCAACATTTACAGATAAAATAACTGTGTCATAACAATCTCAAAGTTGATCATTTTTGCTATGTTTACCTCAATGAAGTACTGTCAATCAGGAGAAAGTTCTTAGGTCATAAACCATCTGGCCTCTGCAGAACAGATACCAGTGGAAACACATGAGAATGTTATGAATTGTTCCATCTGTATTTTTCATCATGACAAAGTATTCAGTTTTTTCTAACAAAGGATTTATTGTCTTGCATAGATGTGAAAACCAGACAGCCTCTGCATGACATCATACACATGACACTCCTGTGTAAAGGTCCTTACTTTCCATCATTCTCTGCTTAGTTCAATGGAGTCAGTGTGACATGTTCATGTATGTGTAAATTAACAGTAGTAGCTAATAAGCATAGAACCCAGGCTGTGTGAGTCTGAGATGTCATAACAATCTACATAGTTAGTGAGGTTAATAAGTATAAAGACGTATGTCTCAACAACGTCCCAGTGTTTGTGGTATATGTTATGTGAGTAATATAGCTATAGCTAATATAGAGCATCACTCAGATCATATCATACAGGCAGTGCTGTTTGACCCAAGAAACCACGCCAGGCTTATTCCAAAATGTTAACTGGCCTTTTCTTAGTATAAATGCTGATAGAATTGCTGTTTGCTTCCAATATTAGCTGATTTTCAGCACTGACAGATATTTAGGAGTGAGGAAATTTATTTTTCAAAGACTAGTGTGTAGTCTGTCTAAGCCCAAAGAAAACAAATGCAGTATTTGAGTCATTAGCCTTTCTCATTGCTGTGAGAGTCACAGTAAATGACTTTAGGTGAGATCATCCCTGATTGCCATGTAATTAAGTATGAAATAAAATAGCAATTGTTACACCTTTCATAAATTCAAGTTATAGAAAGCAATTTGTAGATAATTTAAAACTCTTAGACACTGTCAAGACATTGAAAGATGCAATATTCAATTTGCCAACAACACTCTCACATAAATAAATGACCAATGAAAGAATATTAATCACCTCACTCAAGAGCTAACTGGTAATCAGGACACCCTCCTTCTCTCAGAATCACGACAAGGGATATGTTAAACCAACCTCCGAGTTCAGGTGGACTTTGGTTTCATATCTTGTCAAATCACAGCATTTTCAACACGTTACATTAAAATATCAGATATAGCAAGGTGTAGAGCTGGATGAACACAGCAGGCCAAGC